TATATATATATATATGTACATATGTTTATATATATACATATTCAAACATATTTTAAATAACATTTATGCCAATAAATAGGGCATTAATTTTATCAGCACTGTGTATCCCCAAATTTTGCCAGTAAGTTAACCTTTTTTCTTACTGCTGTCATGTCATTTATCTCCAATTTTGTGTTTTCTTTTATATTTCTATTTATATTGGTTAAAATAGGACAGTATGGTATAACCATATTCTATTTCTCTTTCTGTCTTTGCATCAAGGATTCTACTACTGAGTTATGTCCACAAGAGGATGGTTTGAAAGAACAGTGTTTTTATTTTCAAAAATATTTTTTCAGTAACAAATACTATATATGTTAAATCCTCATACTAAAGATATGTTTTCTAGAGCTTGAGGTGGTTTCCCATGCCTATAATTCTAGCAATCAGGAAGCTGAGGGAGGATGATTGTATCAAGCTCCAGTTCAGCCTGGGCTACATAGTTAGTGCCTGTCTCAAAGACAAACATAAAACATCTTATTAAACAGAAATCCTCCTAAATAAATTTCATCAATAATGAAAAGCCAAATCCCAGTTGAAGCAAAACATACCTGAGGTAGAATTTTAAGGAGCTTGTGATTGTCTTAATGTCCCAGTCACTATTATGAAAATCCACATCTCCTGGGCATTTTGGATCTAAAAAAAAAAAAACAAAACAAAACAAAAAATAATCTTCCCACAGATTTTACCTGTTACCTTCTTTTTTTAAATGAAGTATATTAATTAAATGGTTACTCTAATAAATTTTCAAGAGACCAAAACTTTAGAAAAAGAAATCTTTTCTGTTTTCAAAAGTATCTTGTATTCTGGCTTGCTATGCAAGAAATTTGGAAATGATCACTTCTAGACACCCTGTGAGGGAAAAAAAAAACACTGAACAAACTGAACAACTCTATAGATGACCAAAGTTCTGATACTGAGAGGAAACTGCTGCTGCAGAACCTTGAGGACAAACAGGCTGCAGAGTCAGCACTTTCTGGCAGAAGCTCCAGGGCAGAAACACCATGGAAACCCCTCATTCCCGACACAGGAAAATCTAATCTGTAAGTGAAAAAGAAATGCTATGACCCAATATGTATGAGTTTTAGAGTTTAAAAAATGAGTGGCCTGTGACAGATTTTGATGGCTCCCTATCCCTGAGGAATGGATGGGGGTTGGGTGGGGAGATGTTGGGGGGCATGAGAGGATGGGAGGAAGAGAGAACTGGGATTGGTGTGTAAAATAAGATTGTTTTTAATTTAAATAAAAAATTAATCAAAAAATGAGTGACTCAACAATATCAGGGAACACCAGAGGTTTGGACTCCCTACTAATATTTGCTATCAGTTTTCCAGAGTAGAAATCTAAGAATAATCCCCTCACGAATTCATGCTTCTAGTAAAGGTGAAAGAAAAGTAACCATATGCCCAGAGTTTTGGTTAACAGAAACTATTTTTTTGCACTCCAACTACTACAGTTTTACCATAATCTAAATGAAGTGAATAGTTGAAGATGATATTCAACTCTATACCCAATCCGTCTCTTCTTAAAGGGAACATCAAAAATAAACTGAAAGGCACTGCAAAGGTCACAGGCCAGGAGTACAGTAGACAAAGAATCACAAGAGTTATGGAACACTCCCCTCTCCCATGGCACCTCACCACCACATCAATAAGCCTTCTGCAAAATAACACTCTCATTCTGACTAAAGGAACAGCACAATTCACTAAGTCTCTATGGCAAACCAAAGACAGAGGACAGACAAAACCACAAACTTAACCTGAGCCAAACATGAAGCTTCATACTAAAGGTACATACACCTCCGGTAAATTTTGGATTGTATTTTCTATCTTCTGTTTTATCCACCTCTTCTTTTATACTTTTCACTTTTCTGTATTAAAGCCCTTAACATTAATCACAGCTGTTTCAAATTACTGAGTTTGTATTTCTAAAATCTGTATAGCAAAGTGTGTTTTTATGTTTCTTCTGCATCTTTCAGTAGTGTTTTCTGACATTTGTAAGCTAGACATAATGATAGATACAAAAATCTAAGGAAGCATAAAAACAAATGCTAAAAGTCAAAACACAGTAGTAGCAAGGAAGAAAGCCTTTAAGAACTGAACACAGATAAGAGAAAGATCAGTAAGTCTGAAGAAATGCCAATAGGTACTTTTAAAATGGAAATACAAACTAAAAACAGTGAATCTAAAGCTATGAAATGTGTATATACATGTGATAAGAATCACCATGATGCCAGCACCATTTGTTGAAGATGATTTCTTTTTTCCATTGTATAACTTTAGCTTCTTTGTCAAAAATCAGGTGTTCATATGTGTTTGGGTTAATATCAGGGTTTTCAATTCGATTCCATTGGTCAACCTGTCTATTTTTGTGTCAATACCGAGCTGTTTTTAGGACTATGGCTCTATAATAGAGCTTGAAGTCCGGGATGGTGATGCCTCCGGGTGTTCCTTTATTGTACAGGGTTATTTTGGCTATCCTGGGTTTTTTGTTTTTCCATATGAAGTTGAGTACTGTTCTTTCAACAATCAAAATGCAGAGTTGTGTACCCTGGATCTTTGTTTCTTCATATAAAGTTGAGTATTGTTCTTTTAAGGTCTGTGAAGAATTGCACCAGTATTTTGATGGGGATTGCATTGAAACTGTAGATTGCTTTTGGCAAGATTGTCATTTTTACTATGTTGATCTTACCTATCCAAGAGCATGGGAGATCTTTCCATTTTCTGGTATCTTCTTTAATTTCTTTCTTTAAAAACTCAAAGTTCTTGCTATACAGGTCTTTAACTTATTTGGTTAGTGTTACCCCAAGATATTTTATATTGTTTGTGGCTATTGTAAAGGGTGATGTTTCTCTGATTTCTTTCTCAGCCCAGTATTGTCTGTATATAGTAGGGCTAATGATTTTTGAGTTAAGCTTGTATCATGCCACTTTACTGAAGGTGTTTATCAGCTGTAGGAGCTCTCTGGTAGAGTTTTTGGGTCACTTATGTAAACTATCATATCATCTGCAAACAGTGAAAGTTTGTTTTTTCTTTCCAATGTGTATCCCCTTGATGTCCTTTTGTTGTCTTATTGCTCTAGCTAGATCTTCAAGTACAATATTGAAGAGATATGGAGAGAGTGGAAACCTTGTCTTGTTCCTGATTTTAGAGGAATCTCATTGAGTTTCTCTCTGTTTATTTTGATGTTGGCTGTTGGCTTGCTATATATTGCTTTTATTACATTCAGGTATGTTCCTGTTATCCCTGAACTCTCCAAGACCTTTAACATGAAGGGGTGTTGGACTTCTGGAGGCATCACCATCCCCAACTTCATGCTCTATTACAGAGCTATAGTCCTGCAAACAACTTTGTATTGGCAGAAAAATAGACAGGTAGACCAATGGAATCAAACTGAAAAACCTGATATTAACCCACATACTTATGAAGACCTGTTTTTTGACAAAGGAAGCTAAAGTTATACAATGGAATAAAGAAAGTATCTTCAACAAATGGTGCTGGCATAACTGGATGCTGGCATGTAGAAGACTGCAGATAGATCTATATCTATCATCATGCACAAAACTTAAGTCCAAATGGATCAAAGACCTCAACATAAATCCAGCCACACTGAACCTATTAGAAGAGTAAGTGGGAAGTACCCTTGAACTAATTGGTACAGGAGAATGCTTCCTGAACATTACACCAGCAGCACAATGAGATCAACAATTAAGAAATGGGACCTCCTGAAACTGAGAAACTTCTGTAAGGCAAAGGACACAGTCAGCAAGACAGCCCACGGATTGGGATAAGATATTCACCAACCCCACATCTGACAGAGGGCTGATCTCGAAATTATACAAAGAACTCAAGAAGCTAGTCTCCAAAACATCAAACAATTCAATTAAAAAGTGGGGAATAGAAGTAAATAGATAATTCTCAATAGAGGAATCTAAAATGGCTGAAAGACACATAAGAAAGTGCTCAACATCCTTAGCCATCAGGAAAGTGCTACTCAAAACAACTCTGTGATACCACCTTACTCCTGTTAGAATGGCTAAAATCAAAAACACCAATGACATTTTATGTTGGAGAGGATGTGGAGAAAGGGGAACACTTCTCCACTGCTGGTGGGAGTGCCAACTCGTACAGCCACTTTGGAAATCAGTATGGTGATTCCTCAGGAAAATGGGAATTAGTCTAACACAATATCCAATAATTCTACTCTTAGGCATATACCCAAAACATGCACATTCATACAACAAGGACATCTGTTCAACTATGTTCATAGT